TTTCAAGTCAATGTAGATTAACACACCTGTAATCCTTGCCTTAACACGCAAGAGAGCTGGATGTTCTGAGACTCATCTTCCCTTACACAGCTTAATAAAGGGCCTTAAGACTCGCAGGGGGTGGGGGGGCATGGAGAATTCCTTTGGTTATAGAGAAAATCCAGTAATATCCAGCAGCCCCTAGGGCTGATCTGGGATCTGCATGTGATGCAGCTTATATGAAGACCCTGTGGCTTCCACAGTTCCTGCATGGTGGGGCCAATTTGCATTATCAGCTGGTGGCTTTCCCAAGGAGGTCAGCCCTGCTCTCTGGAGCCTGTGCTCACAGGCCCTACTAATAAAGGGCACCAACAAGTGCTTATTAGTAAAATGCCAACACTCAAGATCATAGACTGGCTATACTATTTCAGAACTAGCATGGTGAGCAGTGTCCCCAAGGTGCTATGTCTATGGACAGAGGGGACCTGAGGTGGCAGATCAGCACACTAACTCTTGCCTTCAGGCCACCACTGCAAGCTGGGATGTGAAGTTCTCACAGCTTAGTTTTGAGACTTCTAGGGTCCAAAGGGCAGAACTTTGACACTCATGAGGAACCAGACAGTCCTCACCAACCCACACCTGCTTCTCCTCATCTACAAGAGAGCCCATACCAACCCAGTGCAGGGCAGCAGAGCCATCCGGACTTAACCGCCTCCCACAGCCCCAGGGCATCAATCTCGGGACCAGCATAAACATTTCATCTGGGGAGCGAAGTCACCAACATAACTCCGTGACACTGTGGATTTCCTGTGGTAAGGCTATACACGCCCACCTTTTTTTGACTTTTTGAGACAGGGTCTCCCTGTAGCCCCAGCTGTCCTGGAACTCACTATGTAGACCAGGCTGGCCTCAAACTCACAGACATCCACCTGCCTCTGCCTCCCTAGTGTTGGGATTAAAGGCGTGTGCCACCACGCCCGGCTGCATGCCCACTTTTTAAATCCCAAGATAGGGTCTAACAATTCTACAGACCCCAGGGAGAGGGCCTCCTAAATTTAAGCAAAATGGCCAAATATTCTGCTACCAGGACCACCATTCTAGCATTGGTCTGAAAATTTAAATACGATAATTTAGAGAGAACATGGCCTGTGGCTCTAAACTCCACTTCTCAATGTGTCGGAAAGAGGGTGACACAGGACCAGGACAGGATGCCCTCTAAGGCCAGGCAACGGGCTTCATAAAGCTGTGACTAGATCTCCTGTGCTCATCTTTGTCTCTCGTGGCTTCCCCACAGCAGAGCTGAGCAGCTGTAACACAGCTAGTACTTGTGCAAGTTTTACATCTCTACAGAAAAAGCATGCTGACCTAGATTTGTAATACAGGAAGGGGCAGCAGCCACAGGCCTTGTAACCAATAAACATTTAAAAGTGGCAACCGTGGAATACGGCTGCATCCTGGTACGCATCCCAGCACTCCTGGAGGCTAAAGCAGGAGGCCAGCCTGGGCTACACGGTGAGTTCCAGGCTACTCTGGGCTACGTGGAATACGGCTGCATCCTGGTACGCATCCCAGCACTCCTGGAGGCTGAAGCAGGAGGCCAGCCTGGGCTACACGGTGAGTTCCAGGCTACTCTGGGCTAGAGTGTGAGACCCTGTCTTAAAGAAACCGAAAAGGCAACTAGATCAAACAGCAGCTGAGGACAGCGGTTCCCCTTACTATTTATTAACTGAAAGCGGTAACAAAGGTACATTTACAAACAGGAACTAAAATGGCTTTAGTGACCAAACTACATAGGGTCACGCTGACTTAAGTAATACTAACACTTCTACAGCCATTATCACTAGTCAAGGAAGAACAGCTTCAGAACTGCTGTTAAGGCCATGCAACCTTAACTATGTTTTTGTTCTTGGTAACAGGGTTCCTCAGGAGGAACCACGGGTTGCCTGAGAACCAATTAGACGAGATAACTTTACAAAATTTACCAGGAAAGCACAGGGAGTCTCAGAGCAGGAGAGCAAACTGTGCTGATGCCACTCAGTAAAACAGTACCAGATTACTAGCTGTAGAGGCCTGGCATCGGCTGGCACTGTGGGACCTTGTTCTTGAGAGGCAGTGAGAGGAAGAACAGAGGCATCGTTCTTTCTAGAGGAAATGAGATTTGGTCTTTTTGTAAGGACCCAACAAAGGAGCTTCCCACTGATCTAGTGCATGGCCCACAGGTCTGGAAGGTGACCTCGCCTCCATACACATGGTCAGAGCCTGTGGTCGGGGGCCCTGTAGCCCATAGTGGAAAAAACTGCAGAACAAAAGAGCCAGGCAACAGAAGACATGCTTCCCAGTGAGTCCTGAAACACAAGGTAGACAAGAGCAGGTCAAGCATCCTGTGGTGGCCTCCCATAGTTCTCAGGACAGTGGCCTCAGGGCTCGCCCACACCAAAGCACTCAGGCAGTGCATCTGACAGCAAGTACCTGGGTTTGTTCATTGTTTCTTTCCTTTATCAGTCTTCCTCCCCAAATTCTCAGTCCTTAGGAAACAAATGTGATAATTAGAGTAGTCAGGTAGGCTTAACGTCTGGTCAAGAT